AGGAAAGCTCAGCCAATAGATACTGTGGTAATCCTGGGAATCATATGGGACTACACGAATTAAAGGAGGAAAAACCCCAAATTTCACACACCTGGAAATGGAAAGTCATCTGCGGAGTGTTCTCCAAGGGCCCAGCTTGGGAAGGGGAATACTGTCTCTGCTCCTCTGCTGTCCTCTGAGCAACTTGGTTCAGTCCTACCCTTTGCCGTCAGCCTTGTTAGCACACCGGCGCTGGCCCAGCTCGCTGCCATCCTCTCTCTAGCTCCAGCTCACCCTCTGCCCGCCGGCCACGTCTTCACCTTGGTGCCTTCTAGTTTAGTCAAGGTGAACTTCCGTGAAAAACGAAATCCTCAAAACCAGCTCCTCCCACCTCCCTGACTTTTCTAAATCTAGTGACATTTTTAAAATGTAATTGTTCAGGGGCGCCTGGGTGGCTCAGTCGGGTAAGCGTCTGCCTTCGGCTCAGGTCATGATCCCAGGGTCCTGGGATCGAGTCCCGCATCGGGCTCCCTGCTCAGTAGGGAGCCTGCTTCTCCCTCTCCCTCTGCCTGTCACTCCCCCTGCTTGTGCTCTCTCTCTGTCTCTGACAAATAAATAAATAAAATCTTTTTTAAAATTTTAACTATTTTAAATAGGTAATACAGATACACATTTTTTAAAAAAACAAAAACCATAAAAAGTTACACATGAAAAATCTTCCTCTTTCCTTTCCCCATGTAGCCAGTTCTGACCATTTGCAAGAAAGTTCAAGTTTCTTCACACATACAAGTAGCAGTATAAATTTCCTTCCTTTTTACTCACAGGGGAGTATGTTCTTCATACTCTTCTGAACTATGTGTCTGGTCACCTATTGTTGTATTAAAAATACCTCTAAACGTAATGGCATAGAACAATTTATCATTATCTCTCACAGTTTGGTGGGTTGACTGGGCTCAGCTGGGTAGTTCTTGCTTTGGTTTCTTACCTACATGTGGTTGTAGTCAGATGTTGGCTCGTGCAAAGGTGAGGTGAAGACTCAGCTGGACTGCATGTCCAAAATGGCTTACAGGTGGCCAGCGCTTGGTGCTGGTTGTTGGATGAGAGTTCAGCTGTCAGAGTACCTCCACATGGTCTCTCCAGGTGGCTTGCCGGGCTCCGAGTGGGAGCATCCCAGGAGTGAGCATTCCAGGTCACCTAAGGGCTACTTACAGAGCTAGCACTGTTATTTCTGCCGTATTCCATTGGTCACAATAGTCACAGGGCTAGCCCAGTGTAAAGGGAATGGAGGAAGAAACTCTGTCTTGTCACGGGGGCGGGGGAGTAGGAAGATCATATTGCAGAGAAGATCTTGGGGGATACGAGGTCCTGAGTTGGTCATCTTTGTAAGATACAATGAGTAACACCACCTGAAGTACTTTTCTTCTCCTCCTAACACATGTGAGGCCTGAGGATCTTTCTTTGCAATGTCTGACATCACACCTCCCCCAGTTTCCACTGACCCCACTAATTCAGACCCTCATCTCTTTGTAGTTAGTTAAATGTCAGCATTATCTTCCCAGTCTCCAATTTCCCCTCATTGCAAATAGCCAATAAAACATAATGTTTTCTTACCATAGGTATTTCCATAAATGTTAGCTTTGACCATTGTCATTCTCTTAAGGAAAAATAGGCTCTGGTACCTGAGTGGCTCTGTTTGACTTGGGTGATGTTGGCATGTATAGGATTTACCTGTTTTTCTTTTTTTTTAACTTCCAATATTGCAAAACTAGGAGATTTTCTGTAAAAATCCAGATTAAGCTCCTTCTGAAAAACTGAGTTCTCATATGTGGAAAAATTCTTCAACTAATATGTTCTCGATACTGAACAAAAGGAACAAAAATCAGGTCCTTGTAACATTTACATTCTTGTTGTGGAAAAGCAGATAATAGATGAAATGAATAAGTAAAATATAAGGACTCTTGGATGGCAGTAAGCTCCGTGGAAGGTTAGAAGGAGATAGAAAAAGGATCGGATGGGAAGGGCTACAATTTTAAATCACATGGTCATGGAAGGCCTCATTGAAATGGAAACATTTTAGTTTAAAAAAAAAAGTGAAGGAATACAGGAAGGGAAACATGGATTTCTAGAACCTTGCTTTCAGTAGGGTAACCGAGAACCATCTGTGGCTAACTAAATTTATATTAATTAAAATTAAATTAAAATTAAAAATTCAGTTTTTTAAGCACACTAGCCACATTTCAAGTCCTCAGAAGCCACATGTGGCTACTGGCTACAAAACAGAGAACATTACCACCATTGCAGGAAGTTCTGTTGGTTAGCATTGCAGACAGAGAGTACAGCAAGTACAAAGGTCCCAGGTTGGGACATTGCTTGATTTGAGCTAAAGAGTGGCATAGCTCTTCTGTTTACACATTTCTACATTCCCTGTTGTCTGCCTTATATTATGGCTGTGTGGCAATTGACCTTTATCACCTTAACCCAAGCCAACTTTCCAAAGGCTCTTACAGATACTGAGTTTTAGACTCTTGATCAGTGCCCTAGAATCCATAGGATAAAGTAAAGTAAAAACTGAGAGATAAAGTCTCAACTCCTTGGTCTTACGTTGAGAAGCTTTGGGAAAGAATGTGAAGACCAAGAAACTGGGATACAGAACACCTATATTCTATTTTGGAGCAGAGTATGTTCATGGTATGATTCAATAGGTATTAGCAGGGGTGATCTGGCACAAGCCATAACAGAGTTATGTTGACCAAAAGTGTCCTGGAGCACCTCTATTGGACCAGGACTAAACTAAATGTCTAGTGGACCTCTAGTTGGTGTTTCAGGAGGAAGTCTGGAGTATGGGGTGGCATTCTGGGGCTCAAGACAATGACTGATTACCAAATGGAACGGAAGTACTTAAGCATTATATAAACTGGTATAGTCTTTTTTTTTTTTAAGATTTTATTTATTTATTTGACAGAGAGAGACACAGAGAGAGAGGGAACACAAGCAGGGGAAGTGGAAGAGGAGCCTGACGCAGGGCTCGATCCCAGGACCCTGGGATTATGACCTGAACCGAAGGCAGATGCTTAACCGACTGAGCCACCCAGGCGTTCCTAAGCTGGTATAGTCTTATATGATAACACAAGGGGGATTTCAGCCTGGAATAAATATATGTGATAGGTATTTGGAACTGGAATGGACTATAGAGTTCATTGCAGAACTCTTTCCAGTAAACACACACAACTGAAGGTGACAGGATTTAAGGCCTTCTGCAGTGTCTGACCAGCATGCATTCTGATATTTTCTTCCAGTTTCTCCATTATGCTACCCCTCTCTCTCAGCACTATGACATATTCAGTGCCCAGTAGGTTCGGTGTCATACCATCTTGTGTTTTGCTCATGCTTTTCCTCCTTACCTGAAGGATCCTCATGTTCCTTTTTCCATGATTGACTCTTCTACTCTCAACCTTACGGCATAGCTCAAACACCCTTCATTGACTTTTTTTTTTTTTTTTTTTGCCCATCCCAGGCCAGAAACGTTTCTTACTTCTGTGGCCTGGAATGCTCATTCTCCATACTCACTTGGCAATTACTGAGAGTACAAAGCAATATCTTTGCTTTTTTAATGTGTTTTTCTACTCCTGGGCAAAAATCTTAAGTTCCTTGAGGGCAGAGATCACACACAGGTCGTTCTTCTTTTTTTCTGAATGTGGCCATATTTTCCCATATGATGGCCAAGCATCTACAGTGTGAGGGGCTGAGGGTACAGTAGTTAAACCAACTGAGAGCTTTGACCTGTAGTCCTTACTTGCCAATCCTTTTTTCTTTTTTTTACGTGACTAAACTTACTCAATTTTAACAAGTCTTGGGCAAAGATGGGACCCCAGTGTCCTACTGGTAAGGAGTAAAAGCCCTAGCTGGCCCTTGTCGGAGACAGACTGCATGGGGATGTGAAGATTCGGTGCCATGTGGACTCTAAGACCCTGCTGGGAGAGTTTCACTCCAGATGCTCTACTATTCCTAGCTCCTGGAATGGCGTAAACAATGATTCACACCATGGTAGGCCTATGCAGTTTACCAAGCACATTCATCACATGCATCAGGCTTTCAGGGAAGGTCAGGTTCCAACACGTCAGCTGAGATTCACCTTCAGGTCATCAGACTTGCATCTATTTTGCTAAACACCTCTCCTAGCCAACGCAAGTTTTCTCCCCTTGTTCTTTAGCGATGAATGTGCCAAAGAGGGGACAGTGTGGAGGCAATTCTGTCTCAATGGTGTTTGACTTGAGCCAGAATATAGAGCCTATTTTGAAGTTCTTTGGCAAAAACCATTTCGAGGAACAGCGACTACGGTTTGGGTCTAGACTGTGCAAAAAGCGAGGGGCTGGAAGAGGGAGTAGTGTCCCAGACTTCCCAGTTCACACGGTCCAAGTCCAAATCCACCCAGGCTGTTAGGTAAAAGGCAGTGAAGGGAGACTTTTCAGCCTCAAGGGAATTGGGGGTGGGGTGGGGTGGGCATTAGAGTGGGTTTGGTGGAGGATTCTGGGAATCCCGCACCTGTGGATGAGCGGGTGCCCAAGCTGTCCCACCCCCTTCCTCCTGGGTTCCGGGAGTGGCTGAGGGGGGCCCCCGCGGCGGGCGGAGGTGAGCCGCCGGAGGGGGCGGGGCGGGGCGGGGCCCGGCGCACCTGGGCGGGGAGGGGGAGGTGCGCGGGGCCGAGGCTGCCGGGGGCCGCGGCGCGCGCCAATGGGCAGCGGCTGGCAGCGCGCCCCGCGCCCGAGCCGCAGTCGCGCCCTCTCGCTGCCTGGCGAAGGCGCATACGGCGCGCGGAGGCGAGCGCGGGGGAGACTAGCTGCCGGCGCCGCAGCCGCCGTCAGGGCATGAGGATGGCCGTGGGCTCCGTCAAGATGCAGCCGCCGTGCGAGAGCCCGGCCTTGGCCGCGGCGGCGGCGGTGGCGGCGGCGGACGGCGCCCTGCGCCGCAGCCCCAGCGCCCGCGAGCAGGAGCGCGAACAGCCGCCGGCGCCGCCACGGCCGCGGCTGAGGGACCTGCCGGCGCTGCTGCGGAGCGGGCTCACGCTGCGGAGGAAGCGGAGCGCCGCCGGGGCCCGGGTGAGTGGCCCGCATCCGCCCGGCCCCAGTGGGCACGGGCGGCGCGCACGTGGAGCCCGCGCCCACCCTCCCGGGCCGCAGAGGGGGCATCTGGAAGTTGGGGAGGTGGCGGAAGGGGCGCCCTCGTGCGGGGTCCCGGGACGGCGGGGTCGTGTGGGTGCTTCCCCCCCCCCCCGGTGAGCGAAGGCTTCCCCTTCCCCCAGATGCGCCTGACTTAACCCAGGGGCACCTGGATGTAGAGCGGCGGACCGTGGGCATCGCCGGAAGAAGGGCCATTTGCCTCTCCCCAGAGGGGAAGCTGCAGGTGTCCCGGACCTCACAGTCCTCCAGCCCTGTCCCGACAGCAAGCCTCAGGCCCCACAAATGGGAGCCCAGTTTGCAAGAGGCGTGAGACGTGTGAGCTTGTTTGGGACGCCCGGTGGCAAGCGTTGGGCATCGGGTCTGGTTGTGGCCGCCGCTACCACCACCGCCACCGCCGAGGTGGAGGAGACACAGGAGTTGGAATTTCCCGGGAGCTTCTAGCTCCTGGGTTCTGGACTCTCCAGCACTTAGTACTTGGTGACGCTCCCTTGAGCGGGAGGGTGCACGCCCCCCACCCCGCCAAATCTTAAATATTGACTTCCTGATGGTGTGTTCAGATACGATTTCCTGGTCAGGGAGTGTCCCTGGTTGTGCATCTACGTGCATTTAATGGCCTGAGCAGGTCGGACATGTTTTGTTTGTTAAGAAAAGCGGGATGGCCTGCTGAATTTCTCCTGGGACCTTTCACAAGCCGCTCAGGAGGCCCGGCTGGGGCCTCAGGCCAAGGGGCTGACTTTACTCGGGTTTCCCCTGCCCACCAGGGCTTTGGGGCAACTTTGGTAGGTTCTATTCCGTTCTTTAGAATTTGTCACCGGTAAGCAGGCTTTACTGAGAAGCTGCAACAAGGTAGATTTTTGAGGGGCTGTACCTTCCTTACTGGAGGACCTGTAGCTCTTACAAAGATAGGTTTGTGGAAACGTGAGAGTTGGAGAGAAACATTTGTTTTGGTGTGGCTTCCTTTGGGCGAGAAGGATATGAATTGGTGTAGGTCTTCAGCCTCTCCAGGTTGTGTTTTGGCTTTCTTACCTATTTTCCTTCCAATGTAGGGATGACTGTACATGATCTACCTCAGAAGAATATTCTGAGGATTAACTGGATGTAGGACATCTTAAAGTCCATAGTCCATGAGCAGTGGAGTTAAGGAATTGCCCACAAGTGACCTTAATGTGGGGCATACCAGATTGTCTGCAAAGAAAACGTGGAAATGTGTCCCAAAGATGTGATAGCTAAATAAACACAAGAAACAGAGTTATAGACTTTGCAAGAATCTAGGGGAAAGTAGGTCAAATTGTGTTCCTATTATCCTTGACAGTTACTTTTTCATGGCACAGAATACTGAAGACATGAGGGCAGCCAGGCAATCTGTGACGGGAATTGCTGAAGGTTTCTGTATAAATAGATCTGTGTGTTCATCTGCATAAAGGCTTGTGTTTCTTGCTGCCTGGGATGATGTTGTGTGCCTTGCCAATATACATATTTGCTCTTCTTAATTATTCTGAATGTGGTTACTTCAAATAATACATACTTCATTAACCCTTCTTTGATCCTAATAGTGTATTACTTTGGGACATTCCAAACACATTTCATAAGTGCATGGTCAGTTTTTTTATTGGGGAAAGATTGTCAAAATTTCCAAAGTTAGAAACCCATACTTTTCAACTATTTCCCCTTCCTTTGGCTTTGGAACCACCTTTGTGACTTTGGAACCTTCCTTAACAGAGATAGGAAGGAGTTCGAAAGAAAGAAAAAAACAGGTGAAATATGTACCTGTATTAGTCTGCTCAGGCTGCTGTAACAAAATACCATCGACTGGGTGGCTTAAACAATAGAAGTTTATTTTCTCACAGTTCTGGAGGCTAGACAGTCCAAGATCAAGGGGCCAGCCGACTTGGTTTCTGGTGAGAGCTTTCTTCCTGGCTTGCCTTCTGGCCGTTCCTCAGTGCACAAGGATGGAAAGAGAGATCTCCCTCTCTTCCTTTTCATATAAGTCCACTAATCACATCATGGAAGCTCCACCTTCATGACCGAGTCTACCTTGGAATACCTCCCAAAGGCTCCATCTCCAAATACCACCACCGGGGTAGGGCTTCAACATAAGTTTTGAAGGAACACAGACATTCAGTCCATAACAGAAGGTTTATGTAGGAAAGAGAAAAACAGGCGAAATGTCTGCCATACCAGCTGGTGAGCATCTGGGGTCACCTGGTTAGCCCTTTAATTAGATCAGAGATGCTCATGCAAACAAATCATGGCTTAGATCCTTCTGTGGACTTTTAGTTTTATATTTTATGGGCTGCACCTCCAGATTATAGCTGAGTGATTATAGGGACAAATAAACACAAATTTATTACCACTGGTTTAAAAAAAAAAAAAAAGCAGCTCTAGGTATTACACAAGTTGGTAAGAAGGTTTGCAATTTATGTATTGACCAAGATTTGATTTAGGAATACTTGTGGCACTTGTCCATGCTGCCTTGGGCTCTCACAAATCTGGACAATCTGACATCAATTGTCATCAAGTAAGTTCTTTGTAGGTTGTGTTGCCCAACCCAGGTGCCTTGTAGGTTGTCTCTTACCTGGAAAAATTAAGCTGACATTTGGTTAATACTGCAGAGCTCCTGTGTGCCTTGGTGTGGTCACTTCTAATCATATTGAATTCAAAATGCAAACTGATTAAGACTCTGCACTCTTTGGGCTAAGTGGGGAAGGATTACATTTCACTTTGTGGGAGGACCCTAGCTATCTCCTAAAATAGTGGCAAGATAAGGCACAGCTTGAATTCCCACCAAAACCCTTTAGTCACTTTTTAAAAACTGTGTTAGGGAGATTATGAGAAATAGTATGATAAACACCCAACCTTCAACACTTACTAACATTTTGCCAGTCTTGTTTCATTTATTTCTCTTCCCCACTTTTTTTTTTGTGGGTGCTGGTGTATTTTAAAGCAAAATCCTAAACATCCTATCATCTCACTCGTAAATGTGTCAGTTTACATTCTCTGATAAGGACTTTTTTCTTTAAAAACAAAAACAAAAAACAAAAACTTCTGGGTGTTTTTCATGCCTAAATATATTAACAGTGATTTTTCTTAAAGATTTTATTTATTTGAGAGAGGGAGAGAAAACGAGAAAGGGGGAGGGGCAGAGGGAGGGAGAAAAACAGACTCCCCGCTGAGCAGGGAGTCCCAGACATGGGGCTCAATCCCAGGAACTGGGATCATGACCCAAACCAAAGGCAGATGCTTAATCGACTGAGCCATACAGGTGCTCCTTAACAATGATTTCTCAATATGATTCCCATATTCACATAAACTCAAAGATCTCTTTTTATTTATGATCTGTTGGAATCAGGAACTAAACAAGGTCCACACATTGTATCTGGTTGTTAGGTTTTTAAATCTATTTTATAATAGTCCCCCTTCCCTTCTTTTTTCATGCCATTGATTTGATGGAGAAAGAGAGTACAGGTCGTTTGGGAGAATGATCCATTTTCTGGGCCAATTTCTCACTTGTGTCATTTAGCTTGTTTCTCTCTTCCCCATGTCTCCTATAATATGGCAATTAGATGTAGAGGCTTGATTAGATTTAGGTGCAAAGGCAAACATCCTTTGTAGATAGTGCTGTTAAAATCTGTTGTATCACAACCACAAGACACATGATGTCTGCATATGTCTCTTTTGGAGATGTTACGATTGATTAGTAGGTTCTTACCTTTCTACCTTTCACCTAATGATTGTAACGTCCATAGATTGCTGTAGTCTAGATCCATTTTGTTAGGGATTGCAAAATGGTGATGATCAAAATCTATCATTTCTCTTGCATTTATAATTTGGTATTCTGTCTGTAAAGAACTTACCCTCATGAGTTTTTTGGGTCTCCTGAAATTCAGATTATGTGGGAAAGACAAGGAAAGTCTTAATTTTTTTCCTTTTATCAATTTTCTGAGTACCCTAACAATCTCCCATGATAATCAATGAGTTTTCCTTCTTTAAGTATTATAAGAACTTGTAGATCTCAATTTATTTGTTTCAATCCATTGCAGTCAATATTTTTTTGGACCCACAAGTTGTCCTTATCTGCTGTATACTTTTTACAAGGCCCCAGTAGTCTCTGTACCTTTCTTGCTTTTTGGCACAAGATACTCTAAACTTATCTTGTCCATTTCCTGCTCCAGACCTGAAATCAGCCATTTTCCCAAAGAGCCCTAATTCTTTTTACTGAAAACTGTTCATTTCCCTCCAAACTTTGCCTCACTTAGTGGTTGCGTTATTTTTTACCTTGGTCTTATGCCTTACATCTTAAGTTTTTTGTTCTTAAATTTTCATCAGGCTGCTTCTAAGACTGTCATTTTCTCCCTCTAATAAAATAGCTGGTAACTACCATTCCCTCTTTCTATATATACTGTCAAATTGCTGGGACTGACTTATTTTGGGCTTTGGCGGCTGTGATCTTTTCTGCAGTGTTCTACCACTTTCTTCATCTCTTCAAAATATGTTTCATTTATAGCAGACAGAATGATTCACCAATTGTGCCAAATTGACTGTTCACCAAACAGTGACAGTCCGCCTTTGGATCCGTCTTCTCTCCCCTGATTTCTTCTCGCTCAGGCAGGGTCCCTGAGGCATGGCAGGTGCTCTTCAAACTTGAGAAATTGGAAGAACAGCTAGTGGCTCTCTGCATGAGGTTCTCTCTTTTTCATTTGTAGTCTCTACCCGGATGATTCCCTCTCAAAAAAGAACAAGGTAGCCTGTTTCCTTTGTCCAAGCTGGAGTGTTTTACGTGTGACTTAACACCCTCCCCTGCTGGAACTAAGACCTTATTGATTGAGAAACACGTACTGCTTCAAGTTGTACCAATATGCCCGATTTATAGTCATTTTGTAAACATATCTTACAGGCAAAGCATATAATTTTAATTCATT